TAAGTTTACCGTTTTGAGTGCACTCTGCGAGGTTTTGGTGTAAACAGCAGATTCTCAAGTGTTCTTCATATTTGGAAACAGTGTTAAAACTCTTGTAGATTTGTGGCACTGTTTCGTCTGTAGAGATGTTGGGAAGGGATGGGTTGAAAGCTCTGCAGGCTCTTTTTTTTTTTTTTTTTTTAACATAGTACAAGCTTTTACCTCTGCAGTTTTTAGTTCTGGCCTAGGGAAGGTGAATTGGACTGAAGAGGCTGAAGTAAAGGTGATGCACACAGAGCCCCTCTGTAGCCAGTGGTCAGGAGTGGCAATATACTGCTGAGGAAACACCAGTACTTCAAAGGGACTTCCAGGAGTCGGTTCTAATTCACCAGTGAAAAAGGAAGAGGTAGAGATTGTACTGTTCCAGGATAATCCAAGGGATGCTGAACTTGGAGGAAACCAAATTCTTAGAAACCTAGGCTGTCTCTTGCAGCAGGAGGCTAGGATGGTGGGAATGAAGTATAGGCAAGGGCCTGAAACGTAAGTAGCTGGACTGGCTTTTGCTGTTTTTGGAAAAGTTATGTTACTGTTTCCACTGGTGGAGGAGGTGCCTCATTCTAATTCTGTCCTAATTCTTCTTGTTTTGCTTTCTTTTCTAACAACATATTCATGCTGTACTGATATTCTAGTAGGACAGGGCAGGCTCTGGCCCTTGCCTAACAGTCCTGCTCCCACACAGGCGTGCTTCTGCACCTGGGCAGACAGGGCTGAGCTTAGCTTATTGCCTGAACTGCTCTGGGGGGTGAAAATACAGTTTTATGCCTGTTGTGAAGGGTCAGCGCTGGGATTGTGGTGTCTGGCCATGCTATCCAAATGCCTGCATAGCTCTCTTGCGTTGCCATGTACTGAGATATTTGGAAGATGTGCTATGAGCCTGTCCTTTCTTCAGCAAGTTGTTAGGTGGGCTCACAGCGCTGTAGCCCAGGCACCTGTGCTTGGGTGCCTGCAGCCTTTCCCCATCAGGTGAATGGGTACTGGTGCCTGTCATGCCAGGAGGAAGGTCGGGGGGTGGCTTCTGGGGAGAGATAAGTGATGAGCAGGCTGCAGGCACTGCCAGAACAGTTTATCTGGTGTGCAGTCTGTTTGGTGTGGTCTCAGGAAAAAGGGGTACCCGGAGCAGCTGCAGGCTGCACAAATTGCTCTGGGTGAGCTGCTTGGGTGTAGAAGGAAAAAGCCTTATTGCCCAGCTTCCTTGGAGTGCTGCAGGTAAGCTTGGAGCCCTGGAGTTCTGGCTGGAGCAACATCAGAGAACAATTTTGTAATTTTAGGGTGTGAGCTGATACTATCTTCATTTAAGGCAGGACTTAGCTGGTTCTTGGGGAAGAAAAACCTTTCCTAAGAGAAGCGCGGTGCAAGGTACTGTCCTAGTAGGACAGCATTTTGTAGAAGTTAAGTTGGCTGCCTAATTGCAGCAGCTAAAACTTTAGAGCAATTAATGAAACTTGTTCTAGTTAAGTTTCCATTGCTACTTTACAGTCGAGGGTTTCTCTGTAAAAGCAAAACTTCTCAGAGCAACAGTGTTAAGATGCAAAGCGAAAATCTGTGGCTCGAGTATCTTTATGCATCGCTCATCTATGAGCAGATGATTGCTTTCCCTGACCTGAGAGCCCAGGTTGCTCCACCAGTCTGATTTAGTGGGATTGTTTTGCGGGTATTCACACTGGTAGAATTTGAGTTAATAGTTAAGGATGAAGCCTGACTTGCAGATACCCTGGATGAGCTAGATGTTTTGTACTGAAACACTACAAGTAAAGAACTTGTATGTGCCTGGCATCCCACTGTCTGTTCTGTTTCATGTGTTTGGGCTTGCTGCAGTCTGGGGTGCCTCCAGCATCTGCCGAGCTCACCGTGGAGTCATAATCCTGCATTTAGGATATTCATCTATTGCCATGGAAATGGGGTGTAATGTTACAGACTAGCATTCTAATGTCACTGAAGTATTGACACAGATGATGGACTGGAAAAAAAGTCAATGGAAATCATCTGAACAGATATGTGTGGGAGAGAAAATAGGAGATTAAGTGCCAGCAAGACTCGCGCAGTGATGTGCTGTTACACAGCTGGTGTGAAAAAATCACCTCTCAGGGGCTAGTTGTGTCTTTGGGGTTTCCCTGAAGCATAACAGTGTTCTTGATGCTCTGGAAATACAAAGCGTTCACCAACAAGGTGACGAGTGTGCTGAGCGTACTCTGAGACCTCGCAGCATGGCCGAGTGTCTCCGGCTGTTTTCCGGACACCCAGAGCAGGGTCCAGGGTGTGCCCAGCTGAGTGGGGTTGTGCAAGTTTGGAGGCAGCTGAACTGTCATGTGTCATTTAGCTATTTATATGACTAACTGGCTGGTACTCCTGTGTATAGCGTTAAGTCATTTACTCACTTTTTCCTCCTCCTTTTCTTAAAAACTATCTTTTGATTGGAGGCTTCGCTTTCCGAAGGGAGGTAACAGATTTGGCTTTGTTAGGGATTCTGTTGTAATCTTCAGAATTAAGCTAGCAACTCTTGCTCTTCTGTGTGGCTGTAGCAGCCATTGGCATTGGGGTACTAATACGAATATGCTGGCATAAGTGGTAGTTAAATACATTTTTCTGAATTAAAATCTATATGTAGATGACAAACCTTGCTACTGTAAGATCAGGTATAAAACCATAAAGCCTGTAGATTTTTTTTTAAAGCCTTCAATCTTCTGAATTCATTATAAAATTGTAAAATTCTTCAATCTTGCCATACAGTGCTGCAGGGAAGAGGGCTGGACTGGTGGGAGCAGTTGCATAGTTCCTGTGATCTTCAGTCTCTGCTGCTCTTTGCCATGTAAATGGTCTTTTAGAATGAGGAAAATGCTGTCAAATACCTTTAGAAGCAGACCAGCTATTCCTTTGAAATTCTGACTTGTGAGAGAGGAACTCGGGGGGGGAAAAATTAATGCTTTAATACAGGCTTCATAGTGAGGCTGTCAGCAAGGTATAGTCCAGCTGCTGTATTTGGTGTGGGTTAAGTAGGTTTCTTGCCTTGGTTTTATTGAGGACAGTCCTTATAAAATGGGGTACTTGGGAAAGGGACTAAAGGTAAACTTGTGTAAGGCTCAAGATCTTGCAAGACTTACTGTAATTTCATTGCTTCAACCCTACAGTCAGTTTTGAGGCTATATACCTTTTCTTTAGTGGCGCTCAGCATGATGTAGTCCCTTTTTCTTGTAACTTCTGGCCATTTACTGTGCCCTAAGCAAGTTACTGAAAAAGGGCTTCTAACCTGGCACTGGAATACCGCTTTTACTGATGAGGAGTTGTGGTTGGTGGTTTCTTTTTAGCTTCAGAAGTGCCAATAAACTCATAACCCAGCATGCTGCACCTCTTCAAGCCTGGTGTTGTCTTTGGGTGCAGCTGTTGGTTGGTGAGCTTCGGAACTGTTTCACAACTCCAGACGGTGTGGGGTCAGGGCTATGCATCTCTTACAGTGTAAATGACCAGAGGAACTTGAGGTTTGGTGGAGGGAGGGGTTCTTTATCTATTGCTTTTCAGAAGAATGTCCTCTTGATGTTTTGGCTGGGGAAGAGAATGCCCTCTTAGAAAGCAGATGCTGTGAAATAGTCTGACTTTTTCACACTGCTTGGTATCTTTTTAGCTGTTTTTGGGAAATAATAGTACTGAAAGTATTTTGTTTCCTCTCCTATTAAAATACGATTTTTTTCCAGTTGTTTTCTTTCCACAGTGATTAAATGTTGGATATTTGTATGTTGTATATGTCTTTTCTTGGCTTGTCTGTGGGCTTTCCTAGTAGGAGGGCAGTAAGGTCTGAAACTTCTCCAGCTGATCTTGGAAGAGCTCCAGAATGGCTGGAGGCAGTTGATAAGTTGGACTGAAACTTTCTGTAAGCAATGTAGCTGAGGAGTGCTTAAAGCTTGAAAGAGGGAGGGGTAAGGAGATAGCGTTGCAAACTTTCACAGGATACTTCTTCCACCTGTTAAGGGCAGGTGGAAGAAAACAAAGATATTGGTGTCCAGCAGACTTCTGGAGAAAAGTAAGTTGGTCTCGGGGTTAATTGGCACTCTGTTGTGTGTCATGATTGCTTCCTTCCTGTCCTGAGAAAGGCACAGATGTTAAGTAAATAATCTGTATCATAAATGAGGAGAGTTTGGAAAGATGCGAAAAAAAGTCAGCATGGTCAAAGCAGTGAATTACAGCTGGATGCAGCTGAGGAATTGATATCCTTCTGTACTCAGGTTACTGCTTGGCCCTGGTTGCCTTTAACTGTGCCAAATAGTGGAGTGTCACTTCCCTGACTAGGAGGCAAGTACACAAGTAATCAGGTTTGGAGTACTGCATTAGTCAGATATGAAGCAGCAAAATAAGTAGGTCAGGTACCGAGCACTTGCAGTAACCTGGTGGGACAAACATGGCCTATATGTTACGTACTTCTGTTTTTTGCAAGGTTTTTTTCATTGTTACTATAAAATCAAGGCCTTAGTTTGCTGTGAGTTCTGTTGGATTTTTGCCGTGCATATGCAATGAACCTCTCAATCTGGGGAAAAAAAAAAAGTCAAAATGTGGTTTATGCCATGATGATACAAGGGAAATAATTTCTGCTGAAAACCAAAGCAGATTTAAGTTATACACCTCCTGAGGACAGTGAAGCTGTTTGAGTAGAAGCCTTTCACATGGGTAATGTGCTCGATATTGTGAAGTTGGGTCCAGGTTCCATTTGGAACAGTAAATCTATTCTTATGCTTCCTAGAAACTTCGTAACACTCTTGCCATAACAGCATATCACATGAGCTAAGGTTAGGGTCACATTCGAAATTGAAACTTCTACTTTAGCGCTTGAGACCAGCTCTTGCAAATAAGTCTGTTTAATCTGGCTATTCCATGCTTCACGTGCACAGACTTCCTTGTCAGGAAGGACATGTGGGTAAAGGAGCAGAGAGTGACAAGAAATCTGAGGCAGATTTTTTTTTCTCTTCACAGAAACCATGGCGAGTCCTGCAAAGGATAACTATCGAATGAAGAGTTACAAGAACAAAGCCCTAAATCCCGAGGAAATGCGTCGGAGAAGAGAAGAGGAAGGAATTCAACTGCGCAAACAGAAACGAGAGCAACAGGTAACTGTCATCTTGACTAGATTGTGTTCAGCCTTAACACAACCAGGATTGTGCTGCTGCCAAACTGGAATCTTCAAGGATCTGTGCGCTAAGGTTCGTTGGCAGTCCTCTTATTTTTCCTGTTCTGAGATCTTGCTTTTTCTCTTTTTTTTTTTTTTGTACCTAGTACAGAGCGTAGCTCCCATCAAGAGCTCTCCAAGCACTTTGTCCTTGGGGTACTGGAGGTTTTTGTTCACAGATCCTTGTTTTTAAAGGTGTTTTTTTATTAATTAGTGGATGGGGTTATTTCCTCGAAGCAGGAAGAGCAAGTGAAAGTATGGGCTGTACATATTTCTTATTTCTGAGTTGGTGGTTTGGTTTTTTTTTTTGGCTTGGAGGTCTATGAAAGTAAGAGGTGATTCCTAGGTGATGTAGGCAGCTCAGACTAAATGTTTGCTCTATTAGTGCATCATTTACAAGCTGCCTTCTCCCCAGTTTCTCTAACTTGTTAGGTCAAATTTTGCACTTGCCTGTACCGGTGTCTCTGACTTGGGCATCTGCATATCTGGGGACAAGACTTAGCATGTTTTATTATTGGGGTTTGTATGCCAAACTACTCTTCAGAGTGCAGAGCTGTTATTAATGGCTACTTTTCTATTCAGATTGTGTTCAGTCTAGTTGACAGTATCTTGTTTAAGGAACAAGCATGTCTAGTTATGAAGACTGTTCGTCACTGCTTTCTAATAATGACTACTGTGTTTTGTTCCCTGCCAGCTCTTTAAAAGAAGAAATGTGGAGTTGATCAACGAAGATGCCTCCATGTTTGATAGTCTCCTTGTGGATTCCTATGTTAGTTCCACAACAAGTGGGGTAAGGTGACTTTCCTTTTTACAGTTATGCCTTCAGATAGATTTAATGCTGTGGACTGCATAGAACTGAGGAACTTCAGTGTGTTTGTTTTCTCACTTTTGAGGATGTTGCAAATTGTTACTGCAGTGAACTGGAAAAGTCTGCTGGGAAGTAAATAATATGCTGTAATCTCAGATTTTGAATCTTTGGATTACTGGCTAAACACAAAATTGTAGTAGGCTGTCATGACTCTGATGCCTTAAATAATCTTAGTGTAAAACAAAGCCATTATTCTGTCTCCTTTACATCTTTTCAGGAGGGAGTAATCACAAGAGAGATGGTAGAGATGCTTTTCTCAGATGATCCTGATCTACAGCTAGCGACCACTCAGAAATTCAGGAAGCTACTCTCCAAAGGTAAAAATAACTCATCCCAGCTGTAGGATCTGACATATCCTTTCTTTTGGAAGCATTTGTGCACATGTGTTGCTATACAGAAGGTTAGCAGCTTTGATCTTGGGGAAAGAAAGTTATAATCTAGAAACTTGATAATCTAGTATATTGCTAATGATTTACAGTTGTATGAATTGTATAGAAAGTGATTCTGGAGAGTTGTCCTGCTGAGTTCAGTACAGCTTGAGATTAATTCAGTAATAGTTGATGCTTGTTATTCCACTGCACTAGACCTATATACTGTTTTGACCCTGCCTTGCTATTTCAGAGCCGAATCCTCCAATAGATGAAGTGATAAACACTCAGGGAGTGGTGGACAGATTTGTTGAATTCCTGAAACGAAGTGAAAATTGCACACTACAGGTAAAGGAGATTGCGTTGTGAATTCTTCATGGCATGTAGCTGTTTAATCTTCACAGTGTAGCAACATGAACCCACAGGTGCTATCAGGGAAAAGTGATGTCTTGAACCCAAAAGATGCAGGTTATATGATGTATAGGAGAAGACAAAGGTAGCCTGCAATGCTTAGGCAAAAAATGAAATTATAAATTGCTCCAAATTAAATTCTTGGAAGAATGCTGGCAAAAATAACATAGTTCAGCTGCAGTGGAAGAGAATTTGGCCTTCCTGTGTCTGATATTTCTGCTGGGAGCTGGTGGAGCCATGGAATAAATGTGTAGGAAGAAACTGAGTGAGGAGAAACCCCCATTATTGGAGGCTTTTAAGTACAGGTTAAGAGTCTGCTAGAAATTGGTTAGGTAGTGCTGATCCTGCTGTGGGGCAGAGGAAAGGACTGGATGGCTTCTTGAGATTCCTTCCAGCTTGGTAATAACTATAGTTACTTTGTAGGGGTTAAAGATACTTCCATACATGGAATTTGATCTGAGTCGATGACTGGCTTCATCTTTCTTCCTGCCCTCTGGCACAAGGCCATGTATCATAGGGGCTTACTTTCAAGAGGAACTGAATGAAAATACTGGTTTTAAACCAAAGAATGAGTGACAAAAGCAGGGAACTTGCTGCTCAGCTTCACTTGAACTCAAGGCATCTTTGCGGTGTTAGGCAGATGAGAGGGTGGGCTAGAACTGGCTAATCTGCACTAGATAAAGAAAACTACCTGCTCCACGTGTGTTTACGCACAATGTATCTTCACTTTTCTTGCTGGAAAATGGTTGTATAGGTGAAATGATGCGGTGTGACTGATGGTGATGTCTTCACTTGCTGATCCTTTGAGAAGCTGTAGCCTCTGAGAAGGCATTTAGCAGATGTGGCTTTTTTATTGGTCAAGAAAATAAAATCCTTTCCTTTGAGTACTGTGTGTGAGTTCTGTTGTGATTGCTTTCATTCTCTCACAACCTTTTTAGTAGAATTTGAAAGAATGATAGCCAAAATTTAATGACAAATATTTTGCTAAATCAGGATTCTTTTATTCATACTTTTGTCATTTATTTGCTTGTTTCAGTTTGAAGCAGCGTGGGCACTGACGAACATTGCATCAGGAACTTCCCAACAAACAAAAATAGTAATTGAGGCTGGGGCAGTTCCAATATTTATAGAGCTGTTAAACTCTGACTTTGAGGATGTTCAAGAACAGGTAAGGTTCAGTTCTTACTTTGGGGTTAGGGAGAGAACCACAGTGCCTTGCACACGGTAAAAATGCAGTGTTTAAAATGAGTGACCAGTGTCTAACAACTGGCTTCAGACCACAAATTGAAGTATTGTTTGCCTGGAATTAAGGGAAAATGCTTTCTTAGCACACTACCCTTTTCTTCCTCTGTTCAGAAACTGCGTGAATGCTAAAACTGTTGCTGTTTCCTTTCAGGCTGTCTGGGCATTGGGGAACATTGCTGGAGACAGCTCTGTATGTAGAGATTATGTCCTTAACTGCGCTATTCTTCCTCCCTTATTAATGTGAGTAGCCATGAATACTTGCCAATACAGTTCTTGAAGTCCCATTGTACTACAGCAGAGCAATATTTGAGCTGGGCGAATAGATTCCCTAGCAATGTGTGGTGGTGTTTGCTGGGAATCAAACCATTGATACCAGATAAACTGGCAGTTCAGACAAGTATCTGATAAATAGAGTGGGACTTGGTAGATAACATGCCTTCTCACAAACCTTTACACCGCTCTGAATCTGAAGCGGGTGCTATTGCAGTGTGCTTCTTTCTGAAGTCACAGGGCTTGCTGTTTCACTGTGTGTCCCTCCAGATGCCTGCTCTTTGTGCTTATGCTCTGGATTTCAGGTGCTTGTCTGAGTGGACTTCTCTAGGACTGAGGAAAGGGAGCAGGTCTCTGTACACCACCTTGCCTCTGCAACTCTTAAGTGTGGTGCATACCCACCATAGTCAGAAGATCTGTCTGTCAGGCGTGTGCTCTCACTGCTCTGGAAAGAATTAATCTTTACTTTATCCTGTCCCTGGCAAACTGGTGCTTTTTCACAAATGACTTGGCTTGTTACACTGCTACTTCTGTCAGTCACCTGTCAGCAGTGATTGCTGACTGACATCCTCAGCCCACGGGACTTGCTGTCTTCATTTTGCATTGAGAGACAGCAGTTTGTGTCAGTTGGTCTCTGGTGAGGACTGTCTGACCTCAGATAGGGGTGCGAGTGTCTGCCTGGGCTGAATTTGAACTTGGAACTGCATTCGACTAACTTTCCCTTCCTTCTGCAACTTGTCTAATGTGGAACTTGCCTTCCTGACCCATGTTACTTGACGCTGTTAGGAATAATAGCTACTTATCCTAAGAAGTAGTTGATGTCACTTCTTTTCTTGCTTATTGAGAGGCTCAAGTAACAAGCAGTTACTTGTTAGTAACGTGTAGCTTGAGCTACAGCAGGTGGAATAGTGGTTTGAATTCCTTAAAATCATACTAGTTTTTCTTCTTTTTGATTCCCTTGCTGGCTTCCACATCAAGGATTATAATTCATGGTAATTGTCTCTTTAGGCTCCTTACGAAGTCCACCAGGTTGACAATGACACGAAATGCTGTCTGGGCCTTGTCAAACTTGTGCAGAGGAAAGAGTCCGCCACCTGAATTTGATAAGGTGAGAATAAATGCCTTGTTGGCAGACAGGTGATGGGGAGACACCCAGTTAAGATGTTTGTCTAAATTGTCTTTGGCTGTTGGACTTCTGTAAGTCATTCCGGGAGGGAACAGGGTGAGGGTCTTCCTGTTGAGGCTGATCTTACTGTTCAGCAGATATTTGAGTGCCTGTTTAATTTTCTGCCAGCCTTTCTGCCCAGCTCTATTGGCAGCCCATCAGCTGGACCCCTAAAGTAAGGGGCAAGCCCAGACTTCCCTGAAAGGTAGCATACACTGTGGGCTTCTCTAAACCCTTTTGTTACCAACTCTGGAATTTTGAGACTTCACTCAAATCACTAAAAATTTGATTCTGAGAGCTCTAAATGCTACAAAACAGGACTCCTGTAGCTACATGGGAGCTGTGGTAGCTTGCTTCTTTCCCTTTCCTGGTGTGCTGCTGGCACTAACAAAAGGTTCTGCTGGCCTTTCAGGTGTCTCATCCTTCTTTGGTGGCATAAAAATGTTTTAAGATCAATATATTTTCACTTTTTTAAATGAAAGCTCAGGGATGAAATCTGAATTGAGTGTAAATATGAAACCACTTAGAAATGATTGAAGTACTCCGAGGTGTAACTGTTGATGGTTGCTGCTCTGAATACTGAGCTATTTGGAGTTATTAAGAGTAAGAAATGGAGCAGTGCTCTTGCATAAGACGTGTAAGGAACTTCCAAATGGTAGCATGCACAGTAGTGCTTGTCTCAGGACTCTAGACTTGGTCCAAGGGGAAGGGATGTAATTTTAGTTTAGCAGTACAGCTGTTGAAGTAACTTTAGACACTGTGATTATGAGGTAAGTGAACAACAAGGAAGTTGCTGACTTTGGGAAGGAAACTGTGGACAGTCAAGACTTATCTTGCCGGTCAGCGTAACCACATGGTGTTTGCATGCAAATGTGGTGGTCCTTGGCAGAACGTGACTAACCTTCTGGGGTGGTGGCTGTTGTTGTAGGTATCTCCCTGCCTGCCAGTGTTGTCCCGATTATTATTCAACAGTGACTCTGACTTGCTGGCAGATGCGTGCTGGGCTCTTTCCTACTTATCAGATGGTCCCAATGAGAAAATCCAAGCAGTTATTGACTCGGGAGTGTGTCGGCGACTGGTGGAGCTGTTAATGTAAGTATCTTGTCTTGCCGCTTCAGCCCAGTGAGACTGGGAAGCATGTGACTGAGCGTGAGTATATCAAAGCCCATCTGAGCGCTTTTCATACCTCTTGTGCGCACAGGATCCAGGGAATGGGTGCCTTAGCTGACGTTGGAGCAGTTACGTAGGAGGGTCTGAAGCAAGCTGAGAGCTGTAGTTTACTGGCTTCTCTTTCTGAGAAAAGCTGAGTATTTTTTAGTGCGGGAATGTTAGTTAATACCGTATGCTAGGAAGAACTTACTAATGAGAAGTTGGACGGACACTTCTAATCTGGGAGAGAGGGCTGCAGAGTGTCTCGTGCTCTCCAAATTTGCCTATGGAAGCCTAGTTACTAGGCAAGTCCAAAGATGACAAGAATAGTGTCTAGCAAAAGTCAGCTTGGCTTTGTTTCTCTGCTCTCTATATGGAAACTTGAAAAAAATGTTTGCTGTTTACAGTTTGAATGGGCCTTTTTAATGCCTTCAGAATTGGTAGAACTGAGAGATGCTTGCTTCTGAAATTCTCCTGGAAAAATTCTGGGTGTTCTCATTGGGTTAACAACATCTTTGTTCAGGAAGGGTTTGTAAAAAGTGAGATCTGTAAATACGCTGAATTTAATGGAGTTAGAGTGTAAAGGATGAAAACTTGTCAGTATTGCAACTTTTGTTTTCAGTCTGCTTATCCAGTGGCAATATGGTCAACTTACTGTGTTTCCACGTACGAGGGGATGGAATTCTAAGTAAATAATGCAGATGAGATACTGGGGAGAGAATCTTCTGAATATCCAGGTGTGTGAGATCTGATAGGTTTGTCTTTGTCCTGGCACCATTTTTCCTGCAGGCACAATGACTACAAAGTGGCCTCCCCAGCTTTGCGAGCGGTTGGCAACATCGTGACGGGGGATGACATCCAGACCCAGGTGAGGGGAAATTACTGTCTTGCAGGGAAATGCAGTGCCTGTCTGCTCTGTCCCTGATACTGGTGATCTCACTTCTGCTTTCTTTCTCAAAAGGTGATTCTGAACTGTTCAGCCCTGCCTTGTCTCCTTCATTTATTAAGTAGTCCCAAGGAGTCAATCAGGAAAGAAGCCTGCTGGACTATATCTAACATCACAGCAGGAAACAGAGCACAAATACAGGTACTGTCTTCTCCAGCTCACCTGTAATGATCCTAGATTCCAAGCTCAGCACTAAGGATTTGCAACTTTTTTCTTTTCTGACACTTAGAGGCTGCCTTTGTTCACATCTCTTACTCTGCAGTAATTTGCAAATTCGTTGCTCCCAGCCATCTGCCAAAAAAAGCTTGCTAATTGTACCAACGAAAACTAGCCTGAAATGGGTCCCACAGGTTGGATCATTGGAATAAGAGGAGATACAGCTCCTATTTCTCCATGCACAATTAGAGATACCCCTTTGAAAAGCTGGAGCTTGTTGAGTTTTAATTATCCTTTTAATGACCTACGTACAAAGGCAGATAAGTGATGAAAGCATTCCTACAGTATTGATGCAATAATAGAGGTTGTCTACTGTGTTAGTTATGGAATCAAATATCTCCTGTTAATAGGATTTGGCTGAGGAATGAAATGGAGGAATTGCTGAAGGGCACAGCTGGGAAAGTCTTTTCCACTGGAAAATAGAGGTGGAAGTTTCTTTCAGGTGCTTAATTGCCTTTTAGAAACCATGTTGCCGATTCACACACTTCTTACTACTCTCTCTCCCCAGGCAGTCATAGATGCAAACATTTTCCCGGTACTGATAGAAATCTTGCAGAAAGCAGAATTCCGCACAAGGAAAGAGGCAGCATGGGCTATTACAAATGCAACGTCGGGAGGAACTCCCGAACAGATCAGGTACTCCATGTTGCCCCTCTTAGGGGGAATCTGTCTGAATGTATGGTAGCTTTGTCTTTATGGGAATTGCAAGACAAGTAGCAAGGGAGTAATTTGGAGAACCTCCGGGAGAATACCTGAAACACAGGCAAAGCCGTAGCTGGGCCATATACTGTGCTGTAAATTGTAGCTTCCCTCTGAATAAGGATAAGGTAGTCCAAACTACTTTCCCTCTCCCCTTTTAGATAGCTTAGACTAGGCTAAATGTCCAAACTTGATGACATTAAATTCCAGAGTGGACTTATTTTGAGTAGCACCTGGATTTCAAAGGGAGTTAGTGGATTTCTTAAAAGAGAGTATTTGTATACAAATGCAAATAAATGGATTAAAATTAACCTTGCAGAACAGTAAATATATATTTTAAGGTAACTTTCTGTGTTTTAGTCCAAGTAATTTCTCTTACTGTTTCTAACTGAGCAAAGGTGATGCTTGCTAGATGCTGAACAACAAGTATATGTTGTTGGCGCTCTCTCTTCAGATACTTGGTAAACCTGGGTTGTATCAAGCCTCTTTGTGACCTGCTGACTGTCATGGACTCCAAGATTGTTCAGGTGGCATTGAACGGCCTGGAGAACATACTGAGGCTTGGAGAGCAGGAGGCCAACCAGAGTGGGACAGGCATCAACCCGTACTGCAGCCTGATTGAGGAGGCCTATGGTAAGTTGTGGCTGGTGGCCTTGGTGCTCTTGACTTTGAACGCCATTGAAAGGTGTCTGCTAGTTTTGTTGCTTACTTTTCTGTTGTGTTAAGGGATTTAGTATATTCCAAACTAGCCAATATTTGTTCCAATAGTTTGTCTTTTTAGACTCTTATGATTGGGCATAGGACAAAATTCTTGGAAGTGAAAACTATCATACTTCTGATCCAAGCTTCCTAGACCTGGAGGGCAAGCTGATAATTGTGGCTCGCACCGGTTGGGAGTATTAACCAGAAATAAGCTGAGCTGAGTAAAAAGTGACACTTCTGGGTCTAACATTGCTCTATCTGTACCCAGTTCTACCCTGTAGAGGTATACTGGAAATCCAGAGGGACTTAGCTTTTCCCTGCAGTGACTTGACTTGGTGGTTTATTTTTCTTTTTTTTTCCTCCTCTTTTTGTCCTGCTCTTAATGCTTGGAGGAGCAGTTCCTATTTTGGTCTGAAACTTCCTGTATGCTGCCAGGGTCTGATTTGCCCTCTCACTGACTGTTACATCGTGTGTCCTGATTCTCCCAGTAGGAATAATTCTTGAAATTCTTGAGAGTATATTGTGCTCGGCTGCTTTCTGTTCAGCAGTGGATTTAATTAGGACAGCTAAAGCTGTTGCTGCCCTTCTGCTGGAGGCTACTGGGACGGGCCCTGCTTCCTTCCCCTCCCTACCCCCTGCAACTACCAAACTGTTCACGGCTAGTTGTTTTAATTTCACTGAACTCTGGTTTAGTCATCAGCAGAGAGCTGGGAGCACATCTGCTTTAGCTGTGTCAGCGAAACCTACTATTGAAAAGACATTAATGCTGCCTGATACAGATGAAATCCACAAGCAGCTCTGGAATAATTAACTTTAGATGTCAGTGCTGCTCACAAAATGCAAACCTAACACAGACATAGATCTTGCAGTGAATAGGGGCAAGGGTGCAGGATGGATGTGGGACAGTGTAAATCTTAGGATCCCCTTGTTTCATCACGTTCCACTTCTTTTTTTTTTTTTCACTCCAAGGTTTGGATAAGATAGAGTTCCTACAGAGCCATGAGAACCAAGAGATCTACCAGAAGGCCTTTGACCTGATTGAGCACTACTTTGGAGTAGAGGATGACTCCGCTCTAGCTCCCCAGGTAGATGAGAACCAGCAGCAATTCATCTTCCAGCAACCTGAAGCCCCCATGGAAGGTTTCCAGCTATAATGTGCCCGGGCGGGGAAAAGAACACCACAAACTTGCCAGAAAGCAACTGGGAGCAGCTGATTGTCCCATCCCCTCCTTGCAAATGGAAGGCTAAACACCCACTCCACCTGTTAGGAAACTCTTCTTCCTTCAAACAGCTAGAAACAGTGCTTTGTCCTCACGGAAAGAAGGGGATGTTCTTACACTTTTTTTTCTTTTTGCTGCTGCATATGTGTCTTTAAAGCAGGCATCTGGGTGGAGGAAGGACACTGAGGTAACAGATTGCACCTCTTGGTTCATTTTCTTCTTTGTGGTGATCTCTCCCAAATGTCACTTCTTACCTCGGGTACTTAATTGAGATTTCAGCATTGGGTTGGGTAAGAACACAAATAGAAAGTAAGCATTCTGACAACAATAATTCTGGAAACCTGGGTTGATCTATTTAATTTTTTTTGCACATGTTACTCTTCATTAAAGACTCTAATTTGCCAAGAGCAAAGTTTAGCCCTGGCCTTTCTGCAACCCTCCTTCAGTGGACAGTCCTGTTGAACCTGGGCCAAGTTCCCCTGAAATATACTGTAAATGGACAGAGAAATGGGAAGTTCTCCCACTCCTGGGAAGATTTTTCTGGGGAGAAGGCTTCTTCCCTTTGTCTAGATTTTTTTTTGTTTGTTTTTTGAAGAACTGCTAGTGGTATTTACAAGGAAAAAAAAAAAGCAACAAGACCCCAAAGATGGTAACTATGAAGAGGGTGGGCTGCTTGGGTGGTTTTTGAAACAGGAAGCACAGCTGCTGTTGCACAGGCTTTGTTTGCATTGCTACTGACTGATGTCACAGAACTGTTGAAATGGTGAAAACCCATCTTCATCTTTACTTGAAATATTTTTTTTTTTCCATGAGAACATGTTTTGAGTTCTGGGTTTTTTTCCTGACTTGGGTTGGGGTGGATCATTTTATGGGTTGGAGGAAGAGGACATAGCTACACTTGACAGCAGTGTTGTGTGCGGTGTTAACTTCAGTAGCAACAGGCCTGAGTTTTCAGGTTTACCTCCTGCTCACAGTTGGATCATGTACATTTTACTTCAAAAAAAGAAGTTAAATCTCTGTATTTTTTATATTATATATAGGTAGATATTTGTCTAATTGGGCCTCAGAGAAAAATATATATGAAATTTCTGTAATTTATGTAAATAGAGCACTGTGAGGCAGGCACACCTGGAAATGATGGCCCCAACTCACTCACTGGTTGTCCTGCTTCTTTTCCTCTGTTTACTCACGTACTGTATAAGCAAACATAGAGCTGTCTTAAACTCCTCTACCAGATTTGAGTTACTTAGCCAAGATTTCATTAAACAAAAGCAAACTCACTAGGCTGTGGAGAACAAAAAACACTTCTGAGGTGTGTGGGAAGAGCTGGCTGCCAGTGTGTGCGAGCCCCTTGCTGCTGCCTGCCGTGGATGCGGGGCTCCGGGTGTTTGCGAGCCCCTTGCTGCTGCCTGCCGTGGATGCGGGGGCCTTCCCGTGGGTGAGAAGCAAGGTGTGGGGCTGCTTGCACACCGGCCAGAGCTCTGATTTGATGAGTCCTTTATTGTGAAACGAATAAACTACATCTGTGCAGTTGACTGAGGTGTGGCTGTGGCAGAAGTCTCTCAGGGCTGGGGTGGGAGAAGGGAGGTGGCTGGGACAGATTCCCCTCTCGTGTGGAGGCGGGAAGGTTCCGTCAGGGGTGACGGGAGGGCTCTCCGGTGCCTCAGGCGGGGCTGCTTTCAGCGGGAGCATGGAGCTCCGCGGGAGGGGCTGTGCGGGGCGGCTAACGGCGGCGAGGGGGGCTCACGGGGCAGGCCGGGAGCTGGAGTTGGCGCGGGGTATGCTGGGAGCTGTAGTCCCATGGGGC